GGGTTCCAGGGTGCCACTCCTTGGCTTAAATGTAACATTTAAGCAAGAATTCTGTCCTTGGAATGGTTTTCTTGAGACATCTGGATAGTGTGGTTTATTATATAAAAAGGAACTCCCACATAGAACTATACTTCTCTTAAGTCAAGATTTCCTTTATCTTTTGGCTCTTTGCTCTACTGAAAAATAGTTCATTGTCTGCCTGAGCTTTACCACCCAAAGGGTGAAAATCTCAGTTTCTGTTGAGGTGATTTCCTTGCACTTCCGTGAAATGTTCCATTGAGAGATGCTTGATTGGGCCTGTATTTCTTGGCTTCAAATTAAAAGCTATTATTTCTTTAGTCCCAGGAGTTAATTTTGCAAATATGGCTTTCATTTAGAGCTGTTAATTCAGATAAGCATCCCTAAAGCATTTACTGGCTTCAGCTGATGGAGAAATCACATGAATGAGAACGCCCACCATTCGTCAGTCTGATAACCAGGGAATATAGCAGCTAGAAGCAAAACGGTGTTCCCCATCATTCAACTGTGTCACTAACATCACAGAAATCACCAGTGGCTATCAGGAAATCATGTAACATCTCTGTATCAACATTCTTCCAAGGCATAATTCAATCAACATGTATGTAATCTTTGAGAAAGAATTAATAGCCATTTAATTTTGTTTTCATTGTATATCTTTCATTGCTTTATGTCCTTTGGCACAGGATTTAAATTAGCTGAGAATAATAAAATCTTGAGCATTCAGAGGGGAAAGAACCCAGCCAAATTTCCTCAGAGTAAGTGAGGAAATATACGTAAAACCCTCACACAGGAGCTGGCACACTGTAAATTAGCAGTAAATGTTATTTGCCTCCTGCCTTCCCCAAGTGAGGAAGAAACTGAGAGGTTCAGTGAGTTGCCGAGGGCTATATATTTAGAAGGTGCCAGAGCCAGGATTAGGATTCCTGTCTTCTGATTCATAGTCCAGTTCTTTCTCCACTGTACTATTCATGGCTGTAAAATATTATTAACTGCTGTGGCCAAATTATCCTCCCTATTAATATCACCATCTTTAATCCAAGCACATAACTTAGGATTCTTCTATAAGTTAGGAACCACTGGAAACTGGGCGACCAATGGCATTTTCTTCTGGCACTCATGACAGTTTTCTAATTGGCACTCTCATGCCCTGTAAGTAATAATGCAGCTTCCAGAAGTCATTCACTCGTTTAGTTTGTGTTGAGCCTCTTCATTATACCGGATCTTGGGAATAAGTGGTAAACCAAATAAACGTGGTTCTTGCCTTTGCAAAGGATGCACACACAGATGCTTATCTGGATTAACACCTCTAAATAAGAGCTTTATTTTCAAAATGAACTCCTGGGACAAGGGAATTTATATAATTTATGTCATTTTCAAGAAGACATTGGGAGAATTGGGTGCCGTGAGTAGCCTAACTGTTAAGAAAGCAAAGATTCCTGGGGTGACTGGGTGGCTCAGTTGGTTGAGCATCTGACTTCAGCTCAGGTCATGATCTCATGGTCTGTGGGTTTGAGCCCCGTGTCGGGCTCTGTGCTGACAGCTCAGAGCCTAGAGCCTGCTTCGGATTCTGTGTCTCCCCCTCTCTCTGCCTCTCCCCCACTCACACTCTATCTCTCTCTGTCTCTCAAAAATGAATAAGCATTAGAAAAACTAAAAAAGAAAGATATCCCCAAACATTTAGGGTCTCCTAGTTCAATGTCTCCTTTCACAAAAGCCACCCTTGGAACTCAGGAAGACAGGCAAAGTGAAATCATTAAAGACATGTTATTAATCCAATGAATACATATTGAATACCTATATCATAGCAAATATTTTGCCAATTCCAAGGTGACAAAGATGAATGAGATTCAGTCTTTGCTTAAATCTCTTGCAGGTGAGATAGACAAGAAAATAGGAAGTGAGATACAGTCTGAACAGCGTCATGATGGGGCAAATGTAGCAAACCGTAGGTAGCATAGACAGTGACTACTCCCACTGGGGAAGGCTTAGCTGAGGAAGTGATACCTGAGGGGATTCCTAGTACAGGGGAAGGAGTTTGCCACTGAAAAAGAAGGAAAAGCATATAAAGCTGAGCAAAACATATGCAGAGGCCCAGTGACAAAAGTGTATGCTGTGTTTCTGCAACTGTGGGTAGTATGTAGAACCAAAACTGTAGAGGAAAAGGAAACCAGATAAAACATTCTCATGGTATTTGGCTCCTCAGATGATTTTTACATCAACGGTTCGTTCAATTGACAGTTCACCAATATTTATGGAGTTCCCACTATTTGTGTGGCAGTTGGTGGGTCCTACAGAGGCTATATGGAAAGGAGTCGGCACTGAATCCTCCCCTCGATGGGTCACAGATTTGTGGTGGGGATAATATGTGCCCATATGAGTCATAACATGAGGAAATAACCTTAAAGGTACAAACAAGGCACCATGGGATATTAGAAGAGGGGTCAATTTTAGCTAACATGATGACATCCTTCACAGAAGATGGCATTTGACCTTTGAAGTTTTGATTCTGACATCGATTCCAATGTGTGGATTTTTTTCCCCACACATCCAAGCAATTTTTCCTTAACATCAGCTGAGTGCCTTACAGTTCAATTCAATTCTGACCTGTCTACTTGGAGATAGCATCAGATCCCACAGGTTGAGGGCTCAGTCCTGTAAGACGACTCACCACTTCAGACACGGGTTGCAAGTCCAGTTTGCTACCTGTACCTCTGACCCACCGACTACGGATCAGAGGTTCCCATGACCCCTCTAGCCAGTTTGCTAGACTGGCTCACAGAACTCAGAGAAATATTTTACTTACTAGAATACTGGTTTATTATAAAAGGGTATATAATTCAGTAAGAGCCAAATGGAAGAGAGGCATAGGGCAAGGTATGGGGGAAAGGGCAACAAGTCTTCCATTTCTTGGAAGGTGCCCCTTTCCCCAGTCTCCTTGCATTCACCAACCTGGAATGCAAGGAAACACTCCAAACCTAGTCCTTTTGGGTTTTTATGGAGGCTTCATTACATAGCCACAATTGGTTAAATCATTGGCCCCTGGTGACTGAACTCAGTCTCCAGCTCCTCTTGTCTCCCCAGAGGTCTGAGGAGGGCTGAAAGTGTCAACCCTCTAATCATGTGGGTGGTTCCCCTGGCAATTAGCCCCCATCCTTAGGTTACCTAGAGACTTTCCATAAGTCTCCTCATTAACATAACACGGGACGCTTTTTATATCTCTCTTCACTTACAAAATTCTTAGAGTTTTAGGATCTTGCAATAGGAATGAAGACAAAGATCAAATACAGATTTCTTGCAGCAGCGCCTAGGTAGCTCAGTTGGTTGAGTGTTCGACTCTTGATTTCAGCTCAGGGCATGATCTCACAGTTCTGGGATTGAGCCCTGAGGCACGCTCCATGCTGAGTGTGGAGCCTGCTTAAGATGCTTAAGATTCTCTCTCCTCAAAAAAAAAAAAAGATTCTCTTTCCTCAGTATGGAGCCTGATTAAGATTCTCATTCTCCCTCTGCTCCTCTCCCACTTGCACGCACACTCTCTCTCTAAAATACATACATACATACATACATACATACATACATACATAAATAAATAAATAAATAAATAAGCAAGCAAGCATAGATATGTATTTCTTATCACAAATTACAATATCATAGAAAGGTAGGTGATATTTACATGTGTGAATTTGTGTGGGAGAGTTTCCTTTTCAGAGGAATAGCCCGAGCAATATCAAGAAAGGAATAGGACCTGTTCAAGGAAAAATAAGCGATCAAGTCTGGCCTTGTCAAAGTACAAGTTCCTTCTTTCCTTCCTTCTTTCCTTCCTTCCTTCCTTCCTTCCTTCCTTCCTTCCTTCCTTCCTTCCTTCTTCCCTCCCTCCCTCTCCCCCTGCCTCCCTTCCTTCCTTCTTCCCTCCCTGCCTCCCTTCCTCCCTCCCTTCCTTTCTTCCTTCCTTCTTTTCTTCCTTCCTTCCTTCCTTCCTTCCTTCCTTCCTTCCTTCCTTCCTTTTTTCATTCTTTGTTTCAATAAGTATTTGCTGAGGGCTTAGCATATGAAGGGCCATCCTGGGTTCCAGGGATCCTGTAGTAAACAAGTTGTTCCCTGCCTGCATAAATTTTATATTTAAACTAAGGAGCTCTATACTGAACACTAATTACTGCCTGTTTTAATTACAATTTTAAAGTGCTGCTAAGGAGAAGTACAAGATACGTGAGATCCAACAGCCAGTCAATGGTTTGAGATGAAATGTCAGGGAGGAATTCTGACAGATAAGCTGGGGAAAGTATGTTGAGGCCAAAGAGCAGAGGACTTTGAATGCTCAGCTAAGGAGTTTGGAATTTTATCTCTTACTTTTCCTGAAAAACAGCCCTCAGTATTACTGCAGGTGTTATCAGCAGATGAAATAGTGGAAAGAGAATGCACTTTGGATTCAGAAAGACAGCATTGAATCTCAACCATGTCAATTACAAACCATGTATGGTCCAGCATGTTTCTTAACCTCTTAACTACTCTGCTTCAGTTTTCTTATCCTTAAAATGAGATGATTATATTCTCAGTGGAAGCTAAGAAGTACCTAGCATGATGTCTAGCAGAAAAAAAGTAATCATTGGATGGCAATGACACAGAGGGTTTAAAAGTACCTTGCCTAGGATGACCTAGCCAGTAAATGTTTGGTAAACATGAATCCTTCCCATCAGACTCTGCAGCTGTCACGTCACGTATACTACCTGGAAGCTAGATGACCCCTAATAGATCACGGATGGATCTGGTGCTCTTAAGAACCTAGAAAGAAAACTTGTGGCCATACCGGTGGGGAGACCCTTTCTTAACAACATCTTTGCAGGCTATTCTCTGTCATTTATAATTTGGCTTCCTCCCCAAACTTGGTTGTAGATCAGAATTCATAGATTTATGTAAAAAATACAGATTCTCAGGCCTCATCTCAGATATGCTGAAATAGATTCTCCAGGGATGGGAAAGGGAATCATATTTTTAATAGCTCCCCAAGTGAGAACATTGCTCATCTATGCTTGAGAACCACTGACTGGCCTAGAGTCCCACTCCCTTGCTTGTTGCTAATATGCTATTGCTCTTTAGTGGGCCAGACAGCCCTCTATTCTAACAGTTCTGAAAATGGGCCCCCTGGACTGGCAGCATCAGCGCCATGAGTGATCTTTTAGAAATGCACACTCTCCAGCTCATCCCAGGCCAGTTGCTCAAAGACCCTGGGGGTTGGGTTCAGTGGGGGTCTTGGTAAGCCCTCTAGGTGATTTCTGATGACCCTAAAGTGTGAGGGCTACTGCTCTATACTATTTGGGCAGGCTCTTCTGTAATGCACTGGGTAGAAGTTCTGCAAAGCATGAGAAGGTTGGTAAGACCAGCAAAATTGGGCGGTAGGGTCGAGAAATAAACAAGGAAGAAAAACAAAAAAGAAAAGGAGGAGCCCCAGTACTCCTGGAGCACAAGTTTGTTTGCTCCTTTCATTGGACTCTTAACATCAGCAGGCTTGTTACAATGTAGAATAATGCCTGGTTCCTCTGTGAAAGACCACACCTTATGTTAAGCAACCTGGATTCCTGTTGTGTGTCTTTTGGCGACTGACTTCACGTCTCTGGGTCTCAGTTTCCTGAAGTGCAAAAGGGAGGCCCAGACTGGTTGGTCTCTCAGGACCCCTTTGTCTGGCATAACTTTCTACCACACTACCAAAGGAATTGGGATCCACTCTGACATTTGGTGTTATTCCTGAGCAAGCCTATTGTCTGAGGGCCTTTTGGAACTGTGAAACCTAAAACAGAGGGGCAGGTTAGGGACCTGGAGTAAACGACTTCCTTCCAGAAGAGTTGGAGCATCCAGGAGGCTGTGCGTGGGGAAATTCCGGGCCATCTGGATGTCAGAGGATTGCAGTCATCCACCAGTGTTACAGGAGCCTGCCTTCCGGAGACAGCATGATGTCATTTGATAGCTCATTATGACCTGGGAAACTCTTCAGTGATCATGGGCTGGGGTGAGGTGTGGGGGTGTGGGGGGGAGGGGAACATGGGGGTGATAGTGATACAAAGACTCAGGCCTTCTTTTCTGTCTCCACAGGAGGTCCCCAGCTGCTGCTAGTCAGCCACCTGTCTCCAGAGTAAACCTGCAAGGTAAGCACCATCATGAGGCCTAAGTCCGCGTTTCAGAATCATAACACGTGTCATTTGTTCAGCAGCTGTTTTAGAATGATGGCACTTACTTGCATATCAGGGTCCTCCAAAGTCTCTTGGTGACTTTTTTCAAAGACATAGTAGAGTTTTACTTCTTTCCCTGTAAAACCAAATGAAAAGCAGTATTAAACAATTGTCCCATCATGTGCAGGCCTAGGCTTTCAGGGTGCGATGGATGTGTGGTATTGCTGCACCCCAGGAGAGAGACAGAAGGCAGAGCTGCATTGACACTGCAAAGCGACCTCAGCTTGCTGGCCCCGGTGTGCTCAGGAGAGCTAACTTCAAAGACCGTCAGGGGCCCCCTGGCTGGCCCCACAGAGCATATTAGTGGTTTTCCTCTTAGCGTCAACTATAGGTCCCACTTGAGTCTACATCCTTTCCAGGTGTGAAACCAAAGGCTGTTCCAGGTCACAAATCATTTCCCTTGGAGGTCATCCAACTTTGTTCCTCAGATGTGTGTGTGTGTGTATGTGTGTGTGTGCTTAAGAAACCTAACCTCTCATCTTTCAGTGCTGTGCATATGCTTTCCATGCAGAGTTGAAAGCTATGTAGGGGAGGGGCTACCCTGAAGGAACACCAGGGAGATGGATTGAACATAAACTGTATGTGACAAAAGATGCAACCAGTTATGTGGCATTGTTTCCAAGTCCAAAATGGAGTTTCCCCCTTGAATCTACCCCCACTCGAGTAGCGGTAGGCCTGAGTAAAGCCACAGGAGAAACGAGTAAGTTGAGCTCTATTGAGATTGCCTGACACCAAACAGCACTGCCTGGTACACTTCTCTGTTTCCAGCTTCGGTATTCCCTTTGCTTTATACTTAACCATCTTCCTTCCTTGCATGTAGTGTCTCTGGCTGGCATCACAGCCACGTGAATAACAGACATAATACAGAAGCCCACCTTCTAAAGAAAGGAACAAAAACATAGGTTCCATTGACTCCTTGGCTTCTGAAGTATTTATAGTACACACCTTTAAACCTATTTTTATTAGAAAAAGACTGAGAACAAGAATAAAAGTGAAAGGAAGATATTAAGTAAAGGTAAATTTGCCTCTAGAGCCCCATGGTATGAAATGGAGAGAAGAAAATAGTGCTCTGTCCAGGGGCTTCAAAAACCTGCTGTGCTGATGTACCATTTCCTTTAGAAGTTTGATAAAAGGAAACTCCATAGAGGGTTTTTACCATATAACTGGTGTTACGTAGTCAGCGATCAAAGGAGGTGGTTTTGAAACTCCTTTATCATTTCATCATATTAGCCTACCAGTGAGACACCTTTGCTCATATTTCTGTTCGCCAAATTCGCTCCAAAGCCTTTGACAGCAATTCGAATATTTAAACTGTTTTCTTTTTTTTTTTGTAATAAATACTGACACACATTCAGAGAATCCGTGATATTTATGGCTCTATAAATTAGCTCATTAGCTAGAGATGTTGCTGGAAAGATCATTTTGTGATTTTTGGCACAGTGACTACAGCTCGGCAGCTAGAGATTCTTTGGCTAAATTCTTTAAAACAATGGAGCAAAGAAATAACAATACCACTTAGGCAATTTGTTTTTGTCTGTCTTTGTGGCAAACTACAAAAATTCTGGCTTTTCATCGGGAAGAGAATGTAGCGATACCAATTATTACGTAATTATAGGTTTCAAAATCTCCTTAACGCTTAAGCCCAGTCAGAAGAGGAAGGAGGATACACACATCCTGTGTTTTGTTCTTATTATCAGCTTAAATAAGTCAGGCAGATTTTTCCTGGTATTTTAATATTTATCAGCGTGTGACAAAGAGGTGTGTTTAAATAGAAAGTTTAAAAGGGAATGAAAAGTAAGTGGCTCCGAGCAAACCGAATTGAAGGCTGAAGCAGTGCTTTCAAAGATGATTTTTCATGATAATAAGATCAGGTTTTCATTTATCATCAACTCAAGTTGGGCTCATGTATTTCAATTGAGATCTAAGATAAAAGATACAAGAAACCCACGATCATTTAAACAGATTTAGCAGCAATCTACTTTGTTAGGAAAGCCTGACTATTCTTGTACAAAGAGCAAGGTATAAGAGAGAGAGGGAGAGACAGAGAGAGAAAGAGAAAAAGCCAAATACTTTTAAGAGGTTTTTTTTTTTTTTCATGCATCTGAATGAAGGAACTGCAATTCATTTCAAAAAGATAATTGTCAGAACTTGTGGCTAAATTGGTGCATTGGGTCTTACAAATTGATCACTGACTGAAATTATTCATGGGGGACATAAAAGCAAATCACTTAGTCTTCTGTACCTTTATTTTCACTGTCGAAACAAGGTCATTCTTTTCAGTTCTCATGGTACAACACGAGTTTTCCTCCTCTGCAAAGACATCCCAATATTTTTTTT